TGGGAACCAAAAATCCAACAAAAGATGTTTTAACCACAGTGTAACTGTTGATATGTTCACGTCATCACAAAGGTGAATCTTAAGTCATTTGCTGTGGAAACACGTGGTGCAGAATAGAATGGTCCCAGGATATCGATCGCTAGTTTGGAGCAGCGTTTTGATTTTATAAACGATCAGCTGAACAGGTGCATCAATCGGTTTCGAGCTCTTGGAACAATGGAACATTGGTACATTAAGGGACCAAATAACGGATGCGTAGCAAGTCCTGCAGGATGGCCATTACGAGAACCACAACACGGTGAACAGAAAACATAGAGATAAAATGAAAATCATTTTGCTGGACTCACAGCACAGAGGCACGCAGAAAGAGCCAACCACAGTTGTTAAGGTTAATTCTGGTTGTGCAACGTTCGTCGCATTATACCGTCTGTCGAGATCCACAGGCTATATCTCGTAGTGTAGGTGGGTTAGGGTAACATCAAGACGTTTTTTGAAGACATGCGAAATGGGGCGGGAACAACGTAATTTGGGAAAGCTTTCCAAGGCTGAGACACATGAAGAGAGTAAAAGCTCCGACGACATCCTAGCCGACTGCATTGCGTGGCTAAGTTGAAGTTGTGGACTCTCAAGTTCCTGTTGTGGCTCAGTTGTAGTTGGTGACGATAGACGTTGTTGGGGTTCCTTAGAATTTGCTAGGCCATTATAAGGTCGCCACGTAGGCGCCGGTACCGGCCGCTGTATAATTTTAGGGTCCTCAATCTAGGTTGATAAGGAAGATTGAACAACCCTTTGACGTGCTTCTTGGCTTGTCGCTATGAAGTCTCAAGCGCTGCAATGTCTTGTTTGTGCCAGGGCTGTCACACCTGGATCGCGGATTCCACATGAGGCTGCACGTAGGTGTTAAGCAACTGCGCACAGACAGACTGATCAAACCGATCAAATGCCCTCCGCCGCATACCAAGGTGTTGGTTCTCGGTCTTTGACATCTTCCCAGATTGTTCTGAGCAGCCGAGATCAGCCTGAACTAGTATCTCAAGGTCGTCCTCCTGCGTAACTGCTTGCACAACATGATCTCCAAGTTTGTGTGCGATGTTTGGCTGTTGGCGAATGTGAACCATCTTACACTTCCCCGAATTGAACTGAAGCAGATTGTGGAGTGACCACCCGTATGCTCTGTTCAGGTCTCGCTGAAGTGCATCCCTAACTGCTGTGTCAGCGATCTTCCCCCACATCATAATATCGTCAGCGAACAGCAAGAAATCCGAAGTAATCAAACGCGTAAGCTCGTTAATGAACACGAGAAATAGACGCGGCTCCAGAACTGATCCATGTGGAATTTCACGTTCGACGTAAATCGGATCAGACAGCACACTTCGAACTCTAACCTGTAGTTGCCGATTTTCAGGAAATTCCTGATCTGCCCAAAGACTGGATCACCAACTCTATAGCTTTCGAGCCTTTGAAACAGAATGCGGTGGTCCTGTCGGTCGAAGACTTTGGAAGAATCGAGGGAAATGACGTATGTCCCTCTGCCTTCATCGGACGCTTCTGTCCAACTACTGCATACAATTATTAGGTTGGTAGTGTATGAACGTTGTTGGTGGAAATCGTGTTGTTTGTGTGCTATGACGTTGTGGTGTTCTAGATGGTCTACTAAAGCCTCAGCAATGATTGTCTCCATCACCCTTGAGAGTACAGCAAGGATGACCAATGGGCGATGGTTGGCGGGTTCCGAGAGATTACCGCTTTTGAAACTTCGAACGATTACTCCAGGTTATCACAAGGCAAGCACAATTTGTTTACTTCGGCTAATTCATCCTAGTCACTCCCAATCAGCAGGCTTACGCTAGTTTGGAATAGCTCCAGATGCCAGCGTTTCGACCTTCCGGGTCTCCTCAGTGGTGCGCCTCCCAATGGACCCCTGCCGGTTTCCGTCCCCATGACTTCAGGATGTCAGCAGCTAGGGCCACTTCGCCAAGGGTGACAGCCGTTGACCTGATTGCTTGACAGTTGAATACTTACCAGTACTAAAAACGCTGTCCGTAAAGCTTCTAAGTCCTTTGTGGTACATAGGCGCTATGCGGAAAGTCCTAGCTCGTGAGGCTAGCCAGTGTCCTCTGCACAGTTCGTAACTGGCATGGCAGTGGAATTTGAGTCGTGCTATATCATAGGCAGCTGTCAATCACGCAGCTCTGCGGTTGTCACCCATGACGAAGTAGCCCTAGCTGCTGGCATCCTGAAGTCATGGGGACGGAACCCGGCAGGTGTCCACCGGGAAGCGCACCACTGAGGAGACCCGGAAGGTCGAAACGTTGGCATCTGGTGCTTTTCCAGACTAGCGTAAGTCTGCTGACTGGGAGTGACGATAATGAAGTAGCTGAATTATACCGAAAAATTGCACCACTACTTATCAGTATAATTTGTTTATCCAAACACGTTTGGAAGAAATGTGATAATGGCCCCACCAGCGTTGTTGCTGCTAATTTCAGCGCCCTTGGATGAATATAGTCGATTCCGGGAGAGGTGTAGGTGCGTTGTAAGAACAGTTCCTTCTACACAGCTGTCGACTTTCTGACACACATCACAAAAACACAGACGCTTCCGTCATTTTTTACATACTTAACCACCAAAAATGCTCCTGCAACTTGCGCTTTGTCCTCACGATTCCAGGATGTCTTTCGTTTGCGTGTTGGATGTTTTTTAATGTCAATTCATGTGGACCTACGAACCTCGATCCTTCCATAAGACAACCATCAATGACTACAAGTTCGTGCTGTAAGGCATAATACGTGGGTAGTCCCCCACTCAGTTTGGTGTAATCTGTCCAGCCTTCAGGGAGGTAGCAGAAAGCGCCTTGTAACTTCGGACCATTTTGGTTACCTTGTTGGAGCTCTGCCTTACTTACGATGACAAGCACTCTTGACTGTAAACTGCCAATCAATAATATTTCCTCGTCGTCGTCTTTAGTCTCCAGATCGTCCAAAGGAAGACGGGATAAACTGTCTGCGATGTGATTCTCGGAACCAGGGCGGAATGTGAATGTGAAGGTCGTAATCCAGCAAGCGGTCATACCAGTGATTGATTCCAAGTGGCCTGTGGCCGTTGGTTCGCCGACTAAGGTGAGCAGTTAGAGCAGCGTGATCTGTACGCAGTGTAAACCGTCAACCAAACGTGAGTAAGTGCCATTTTTCACAAGCCCAGACAAAGGTGAAGGCCTCTCTTTCATCAGCGAAGTATGAAGATTCTATGGAGGGTACTTTGCTGAAAGCATATTCGACAATCTTTCCTATCCCGTTCTGCGTCTGAGAGATGAAAAGTCCTAGGTCAATGTTTGATGCATCTGTGGTGACAACTGTTGGACAAATCACATCAAAAATGGTAAGCGTTGGGGTAGAAATGAGGAGTTATTTAATTTGCTCGAAGGAAGATTGCTGTGCAGAGTACTAGGCAAAGGTGGTTTTTCCTTGCTTAAATATCTTCAAAGGCTCCGCTGTGATAGTAAACTTAAGCAGATAAAGCATGGTGTATGAACACAGGTCAAGAAAGGGTTTAACTTGATACGCGCTTTTATGGATGGGTGCAAAGAGAGGTAATGAAGAAGGTAGAATGAGTATTCACAACGGTGTTTGTCGGGAGCTGATGCTCTCCGCTACGTACCACAAGAGACAATTATGATCGAGAATACCCACCACTGTAAGTAGGCAGCAGACCCGACTGAAAAGTATAACTGCGGAGTCCCATTTGGATCTGCTTAAAGCCGGCTACCCACCACCTAGCGGAGTTCGCAATGGACGTTGCTAGATGATCAAAATTTATGCGCCTGCTACCAAGATGAATAAAAAACCTGAAAGTTGATGGATTGTAAGTTATTTGATCACGTGCTGCCTAGCTTGAGGTGGGTGATGGAAAGCCACTGTGGAAGGCTGATAAACTCCCACTCTCAGTGGTAACCCTGTGCCAATACTGTATGATAACTTGAGTTTATAGAGAACAAAGTGAAGTGTCCCATAACCAGTTGTTGACTGAACATGAGTGCAGATTAATCACCAGGTTCCGTCGGAGAGTATAGTGCGACAGTTTTACTGTGACCCCTAATTAGTGAGGCACAATTGATCACGAAGGGACACTAACATCGTACAACCTACAAACCCAGCTTGTTCATAGCCAGTTATCGTTAATGCTCTAAGCTGCATAGTCGTGATGCCTTTAGGGTTTTATGTTACGGAAGCCCACCGCTGAGAAAAATAGGGATACGTGAGTTGCTGCCTATGGTAACCTTTCTAGGCAGCCTGCATCCGCTTGTCTTGGGGGAGGGCGAGTTCGATACATAGAATTTTTAAAATGTCATTCGTAGAAAGTTGAACAGGTTGTCGGCTTTTTCCAAATTTTCATCATTTGCTTTGAATGCTCAATCTAGTTATTTTAGGGAATATTGCTGTCGCTTCTTCCAGTTACCCTGAACACTGAGCGAATTGAGACATAATTGCCTAGATTGCCTGAACCATTGTAAGTTGGGTGACTGTGTGCTAAAAATGGAGACATAGTGAGCAGATCGATAGTTACTGAAAGTTAGCAACAGGTCTATGTGCAGCGAAGTTCGGCAGGCCATTCTTATCCGTAACTGGATCATGTTAGATCCCTAGTTTTGTGCAGACACCCAACTTTCTACCAGCACAATTGCTTGTTGTTAGCGACAGTTATCAGTTAGTTCCTTCTGGACAGATGTGTGGAGGGAAATGGGCAATGCTCTCAATTAGATAACTGGTTGATGCAAACTTCATTCTACCATCAACTGTGTTATCTGTCCTTCACTATCCACGAGCGCAGTGCAATGTAGTTTTCATGCTGGTTACAGTCATATTTGCTACTGGTCGTGAGTGCAACGACAGCCTGTGTAGGTACAAAGTCGAGGTCTTATTGCATTATTTAATTCGTACTTAGATCTAAGACCGATAAAATAACGTACAGTAAAACTGAGTCAGATAAACATTTGAACTCACCAATGTGCCCCTTTCGGCATCAGAGCGGGTGGAATCGTAAAGACGTGAAGTATTTCCGCCTGCGTGGAGAATATGTGATCCTGGGAATCCGGCACGGGGATCCGAGCTTCCTTCCAAACGAGGGGGGATTGAACCAGCCTCTGGAATCCCCAAGAGGCCTGCAGACGCAAGCGTAGGTGTACTAGGCGATTGCGTGTTTTGGGGCGACGGAATGGATTGCAATGCGGATCGACTTCGTGTAACGGAGCGCGCTAATCTTGCGAACTTGCTCAAACCTGGAAAAACACGTCCCTGTGAAATGTAACTTGAAGTGAATTTAAAGACGGAGACGCAGTATCAAGCTAATGGCGGTTCGAGGCGAGCGATGGGAAAGAGCAAACTAACACATCTCGAAAGCAAATGGGAACTACGTTCAAATGAGGTGATCCGTGGAACTCAAGATATTGAAACTGACTTATCCATCAGGTATGCTAATTGGTATAGACCAACAGCTATCACCAGTACGGAGCAGTCGGAGTACACAGCAACTGGATGTTTCACTCTAAGGACCTAGAATACGAATCTTTAAACTGTATCAACAAAGCCTAGAAAAGTGAAAGAACGCTAAATATGCAAGGATCTAATGGCTGACAGACTTGGTTGTACGATAGAGCGTAAGCAAGAAATGCACAAATCTTAGTCGGGGCGTACAATAATGGATAGGAATCGAACATCACACAGATAGATAACCGGCTGATGGTGATATCAAAAATCGGACGTGGGACGGCAGGCGTTTGTATGCGCGCTCGAAGCTGACACCCATATAAGTCCCGATATTCGTCTTTTTTCTAACCTAGACAAGACCAGGAGCGATGAGAGTGCAGAAACACCTTTCCACTTGACTATCAACCATTTTTTCACACATGGATTTACTGCTGGCTGAATGCGTTGCTTCTCATTGTTTATATACATCTAAGCTGGTGCTGCACGCAAATGCCCCCAAAATGAGCCTCTCGCATCCAATAAGTACTAGGAGAGAAACGATTTCGGTGAGGATTTGTGCAACTTCGTCGGATATCCTCGCGCACTCATTTCATAGAGGGGTTTCAGCAGGCGATGATAACATTCCGTTGGTTCGGTTAAAATGTTATTAAGATAGTGTAAGTTCGCAATACAGCCGTTACTCATCCACACTAAGTAAACATGGCGTATGTCGCCTTTGCTGTTACGGAGGCCATCCGCTGGAGAAGCTAGAAACAATGAATTGGTGTTTATAACAACGTCGCCGCAGTCGCATACATACATTTGATGTGTTGGTTTTGATGGATTGTTTAGTCCAGGCGTCATTTATTAAAGATTGAGTTCTTCGTTGTCTTTTCATGGAACCTTCTAGTCTTTCTTCAAACATGGTATATCATCTTGTGTTGGCAGATGCAGGCTTCTTTTACGAGACACACGTTGCAATGTTACGATCTAACTAGGTACATATGAATGTTTACTTGGTGCTTATTAGCTAGATGTTTTCTTCATTCCTTTGTGGCTGGCTTGTAAAATGGTTCCATGATAGTTACTTTTGCCATGTACCGTTGAACTGTAAGGTAGTTACGTAATTAAAATAGTTATGCAAAGTTTCACATAATCCTGGACTTCTAACGGCTTTTCACCTCGTTTGTGTTATTAGTGATTCGAGTAGGCTCTCATCGCTGGTCTGGTATTTCGGTATCGCTGTAGTAGAGGCCGAAAACTATGAACATCAGGGCCCTCCAATAAGTTGTTATGCATTCACCAGGGGTAATTGTTCGGAGTACTGCATTGTCATAGCTTTTCGAGTCAATCTGTAGTTCCGCGTGCTGCGTCAGAACCACCCCACTCACACCACGCTCAGCACTTTACACGTGGTCGCATTAAACGGAGCATGCACTGAATTAACTACCTGTGTACCGTGTTGTCTTTATCACGAAGCACCGTGTTCAGCTGCTGCCTTCAGTTCTCATCGTATCATTTGATCATAAGCATAGTACCGAACCTGGCAGGATCTTGCTGCAAAATCGTTTGCAAGGCCTAGAATGGGATTGGCCCACTTTTGGGAGCTGTGGCACTCACCACACTACTTAAACTGAATCACAGCTGGGGTCAGGAGCCTTCTGATGTGTTACAGATGCAGTACATGTTCAGCACTGTTCTAGGTCACTAACTCTACAGCTAAGGGGTCTAGTAATGTGAATATTATGTATCAGACGGTTAAATGGCCTCAAAGTTGTAGTTACGAGACATCGTTTTCTCAATAAGTTTCATCAGGTCACATGAGTTACCTCGTGGTTCATAGGCCACAGGTGGTTTCGGCAAACTCCAAGCTGAGCGCATGCAGTGTGGTTGCATCGCTCAGGATAACTTGCAAGTAATCCACACTGAAAGATGTTGCTAATACCTTTGCGGTGAAGTTAGCAGAATTTCTTCTTACTTGTGGAAAGTCTAAGTATCCAATTGCTTAAAGCTTGCATCAAATTACTCAGACAATAACGGGAAGCATTTAAATTGGCATGAGAAGTTCCACCGTTTAAACCATCCAGTGACTTGTGTAGAGTCTGCGCTCGATGTAGGCCTGTTGCTGTATAAATTCATTGATGCGTTATTAGTTCTTCTGTCATGCATCAGTTTGAAAGGGAGCGTTAAGTCCATGCTGGGTGGAAGTATGGGCATTTTTGTGCACCATAGTTATTTGTGGCTTTCGATTAACTGTTAGTATCTAACACAGTGGCTGGTAAGGGTCATGGAAAACAAGATAGATAAACTTGTAGGAGCGCAACCAAGCAGAGGTAATCAGAAGCAGCCATGCAAACGTGTTTCTGTTGTGTTGAATGGCATGCACACAACTGGCTCCAGTTAGCATTGATAATGTGCGTATACGTTATCAGGACCGATCTGTGTGATGGGTTTGTATAACGACAGGGGACTAGCAGCATCTTGGCGGTGGAAATTGTTACGCCGAGCAGCAACGAACGCAAAGTAGAATCGGTTGCAAATCGCATTTACAAAGAATCTAAATAACCAGTTGTAAAGTATGACGGATAATTATGTGGTGAATTAATTTCGGTCAAAGAGGAGCGCTGATGCTTCATCTTGAACTACTACATAGCATGATATAGCGAAAGTAGCCGCCATTGAGCATGTCACAGCCAAATTTTGGGTAGCACTCCTCGATCACGATGCCGGCTTCGTTGCAAATGATCGAGGACTCATTACACGTAAGTTGATTGTTCAAAGAGTGGAGTGGTAGAATTCTTTCATTTAGTTGCATTAGCCAATGACATGTCATTTGGAGGTACTCCGGAACACTGTTAGGGATGAATCATGAGGAGCAAGGAAATTATGTTACTGTAAAAAAACTTGATCACTACAGAATCGTCGGAAAATTTTGTACCTCGTGAAAGCGGAACATTGGGAACTCATCAAGTTTGTTGATTCCGTAGCCGAATTCATTAGTGTTGTTCATCGGTTTAAAAGCTACTTCTACGAGTTGCAGCTTTTGGCGAGGACTTACATTTGTTGTGATTGCTTGCTTGATTCATTGATGAGAAACACTATTGAATGGAACACGCAGACGCTAGGAGCAAATCGATGACAGGAGCAAAAAAGGACCCGTTCTTTGAAACAGCGCATTTCCATTTAAAGTATAGAAACGGTGACCACTTTCAAGTTTCGTTTGTTGAACTCAGCCATAATGGCAAAATCATGCGCCATTCCACAGTCAATAAAACCCGCTTAACAGCCTACTTTATCAGACAAATAGATTTATGGACAATGCGGACGCGGACACCCCAAACCAAAAAAAGTTGCTTAGCCTTAGGAACGGTCTGGATGACGCTTGCACAAAAAAGTCACTTTTCTTAGGGCTACCATCATGGATTTGCTTTCGTCTGTACTTCTTTGCAAAATATCCTAATTGCTAGTAATTGACGCCTGGAGCATCTTTGTCACGTCGGATACCTTTTGGTTTTGTGATCCACAGTGTATCAATAAACAATGGAAAATGATCGAACAGTGTTGTCTCAGAGAATTTTCGCAGTCACTGCAACTGTTGTGCACACTATATCTACTGGGAAATAAGGTCATGGTAGCCATCCCTTTCCAGACAGCCATTCACAGTGATAAGCAACGGTCTGATAACCCCGTTAACCTCAAGTGACGTTCCATGCGTCACTTATGCAATCTCTCTAAGGTCTATAAGGTAAGCTGGGGAAACTTGGGAATACTGCCAACACCTTGGCATCTTTAAAACATAGAGGGAGGCCATCGCCAACATAGCTTCGGTCGAATATCGAAACCCTCAAAAATATTTTCTCAATATAAAAGCTTTAGATTTATTAGCTGCAGTGTTGCACAGAAAGTGCAGGGACGAGGTACCCTGTTAATGTCAGTGTGTTTGCTCAGCTGATGCATATTAGGAACCACTCAAACTGTGCGTTCTTTAGTATGTGTGTGTTGACATCAAACTTCCTGCTCTATGCTGACGATCTCAAGCTTTGGCGGACAGCCAAGCGAGTGGACGATCGCATCGTATTGCAAGACGATGTTGACAAGGCTTACGAGTGGTCGGCTCAGGATATGCATGAGTGTAACTGTCAAGTGCAAATTAACGCACATGTATCACCAGAACACCTACCAATAGTAACTGGGGGGACACTTCCTATAGCTTATTGCTCTTGAAACCGATCTTGGGGTGATCGCGCTGGACGACTTGGAATGCTCAATGCAGGCTGAGATGGCGGCGAACAAAGCCAGCCAACACTCAGACCTACTGCGAAGGGCAATTGGCCTTTTTGATTCCACCACTTTTTCGCCAATACTCAACGCTTACATCAAGACACATGTAGAATACGCCATCTAGGTGTGGCACCGTTGGCAAGGATATGATTTCCCTGCTCTTGAGAAGCGACAACGGAGAGTGACAACACATGTTCTGGAATTGCCTCACCTCCCTTATTCTTTGCAACTAAATACTCTAGCAATTTACATCAAACATTATTGTTTTATGCGAGGTGATCTTATATTTTTGTATCAGGTTCGCCATGAATCTAGCCATTCGTGCAGACCATTATTGGATCCCAGTCACAACACCTCAATGCGATGCAACCGTTTGAATTTAGATGTTTAGCACTACCGGTTGTGATGCCACTGGGATTTTCTCTAATTTTGGGTATCCCAGCCGTGGAAATTACTTCCATATTCGGTCATCTCTGATTCTACGTTAGCAGAATGTAAAGCCCAAATCAAAGCTTTATTAGACCAGTTGCATTACATGGCTCAACTCAAAGGCTTTGGGCATGCGATGAAGTAACCAAACCTCGTGTTCACGTAAAATTTGCGGTAAATCTACCGATGCTCCTTTTCCTTGATAAATGCATTTTTGAATTCCCATTTTACCTACGAAAACTCATCAGCACCCTGCTTTTGTTTAGCAGTTATAAATCCATTGGGCATTTTTTTGTCTGGTACGACGGCTCCCCACAAACAACACATTCCTAGATGCCCGCAATCAAAACTTAACAAATGTAAAGGCTATACTACTATCGAGAGGCGAGGTTTCCATAGGCCGTGAAAGTCTGGTATCGATGGAGGCTGAAATCCTGTTGGCTTTTTCCTATCATTGTCAGGTTTGCACACCCACAATCTATCAAACGGTTCACTGTGGTGCACTTCCACGATGCGAATACTAGTTATCGCTGCAGCCCTATTACACAGCAACAATTTTACTTGCATTCACCAGTCGCGATTGTTTGGTATGGAATTCGGCTCCTAAGCTAAGTTCTATTCCAAAGACTAAGCAAGCTTCTAGAAGATAAGCTTGTGCTGACGCGATGACTTTTCTTTCACGTAAACGTAACATAACAGCTCAACTGTAAGTAACGCCTCAGTCTATACCCATGGCTGAGTAACTTCGGTGGCCATTTCATTGCTCGGTAAGTAGATGTAACAACGATCACTTAGTTTGTTAACGGCTTCCACAGATGCACTTCTTTGTCCGGCTACGTCGGGCTTCCGATATAAGTGTTGGATTGTGCCCATATCGGAGCTGCTGTTTACTATCTTCCTGGGTACATACCACACAGAATGCTTCATACTTTTCACTCATTAGTATCCAAACAGCAGGCTACAGTTCGTAAGAATACCAACTGCTATAATTCACTAGGACTTCAATTTAAATTGTTATGCATGGTGAATTTACACTCCACCATCCGCTGAACCGGGGTGAAGGAAGAATGCAGTTCTGTCAAACGCAGAACATGATGCTGTCCATATTATCGATAAGAAATTGGTTATGGGGTGTAAAACTCACAATCACGGGAGCAAACTGTACATGAGTGAGACCGCAATGACTCGAAAACCACTTCCAAACGGTTATTCATATACAACTGCTAAGTGGCATGTATTTCTCTAAAGGGGTGATGAGGAATTTTTACAATCACAAAATGTAGCGATTGTTAGGTTTGATGTAATTCCTGACTAGGAAGTAGTTGTTAGGTTTAAATGAATGAAACAATGGGTTCAGAAGTAGCATTGTGAGAATCATTAGAAACTCATTAACTTCCTTACCTTTGGTTGTATCATCATCTTCCAGTGGGGTTTTCAGTGGTGTGATATCTCTGAAGGCAAGTAAAAATAGAACGGCTTCTTCTTGCTCGTTCTTCACCGGCGCCACATAAACCAGTACCCAAATAACGGAGTCTATAAGCAACGATTAAAAAGATTGGTAGGAAACAAACCGTATATATATATATATATTTGTATGTATATCAAACACAGTTGCACTTTATCAAAACATTCATGGCTCGCTGTTAATCGCAAAACGAAAAAGCTGTTGGCGTCGTTAACTAGGCTTATGGTGGCCATGTCCTAGACAGTGTAAGTAGAAGGCTAGAATTCTTTGTCACATACGGCGCCCTTTAACATAAAGCTTCTTGCAAAAAAAGAACAACCTGTAGGCTCATGCGCCGCGAATAACTTTAGGGATCAACTAACATTCTCGAAGTTTCACAACTCCTGAACAATGAACATATGAATATGTTGAAGGTGGGCAATGTTGGTTAAAGCACGATCTCAAGGTGCTAGGGACACTACAACGCAGGGTTACAACGTAGATCACAGATCTAGGCCATCACTTTTATTGAGAGTTTTCGCGGATGCTACCGACAGCTACGCGGTGGTCTGATATTAGCATACCTAGTTTTGAGTGACCGAATCCCGTATACTGACATTTACTGATACAGAAAAACAACAACCTCAAAGATAATCGCCTGAAACTAAGTTATCTGTGCAGCTGTCTAGAATCCCGGCGAAATCACTGTTCTTGTTTGGTTCGCCAAACTTGGAACTCAATTCCAAATTCAGTTGTTTCGCTACTATATTGAATATCATTAGAAACGATTACTTGTTGACCTTAGCTCTCATGGCCTGGTTACCTAAACTGTGCTACTGTATAATATATTTATGATGTTCTCATCCTAGGGTTATGTATGATATTGGCCGAAGGAAGCTGTGCCTGAGTGGGCGCTTTTATCATTTTAATTTCCCACAGAATACATCAACTATAACTGCTCCTCATATTGTGTATTATCATCATGTAGTATCTCATTTAATTTGGCAGTCGCTTAAAATGGCGCTTCACATATTTTTTGAATTGGTTGTTTTCACAATAACCTTTCTGCAGTATTTGTCAAACACCTGATTTTGCTGCGGGATAAGTCATTATACTTTATTGTGCGCACTGGCTGGTAGGTTACATCACAAGCATGCTCACCAGGTTTTTCACTCAAAAGCCTGTGGTCCTATGTGTAAAGTGTTAAGCGCGTTCCTTCGGCTGTACCCAAGGACGCTGCGGATTTTTGTAGCACCCTGCTAGATTCTAATTTTGCTTCGGGATTACCATCTTATACGTGATTTTTCTGTGTGAATTTGGCGACAATAGCTTACTTTTGATGTATTTTTCAAGCTTTTCAAATTCGGTAGTTATACTCTGACTAATTTAGATGTATTCTACAGAACTCTAACCTGTGTGCAACAGTAGTCTGCTATCAGGCAGGAGTAGCCAGTAAATGAACTTCACCTGACAATCACCGTCCAAACACTACCCGACAACGACGCGACAATTAACCGCAAAACAAGCCGCGGTCATTCGACCATCACAACCACAACACTGGTAACCCGAAAGGAAGTAATTTGTGTTAATCAAACTTGTGCTAAGCTGTTAAAGTGGGGTTGACTTGTACAAATTGCATTCGCCCTTATCATTCTAGGTGCGTCAATGTCTGTAGAATCGACATAATGATATACAATACGCCGGGTTCACTTTGGTTGTGTCTGAAGTGCACAACAGTTCCACTAGCAGAATACATACAGACGTTAACACAAAAGTACTACAGCCTAGTTGTCAAAACTGAACGTGGTTTAAATGCAAAAATTGCTTCGCTCGTGGTGACGATAGCCCAGCTTCCACCTCATCCGTCTCCCTCAGTTGCTACCAAGAAACCAAGAAAAAGGGCCAGGCGTTCCCGCGGTCACGCAGTACTAGAAACCTTGGGAACCATGAAACAAATCATCGTCGCGACCGATAGAAGCATGCCTAGCCACACCGTCCATATCCTCTTATCCAATACATCGACTGATGCAACATCGGTAACACCCACCCTTTCAATTGAGCAACGAGATCGGAAGCGCTCTAAGGACAGATCCACTAATGAAACCGTTGCTTCACTCAGTACAGCCACGAAACGGGTCATGAACTAGGTGCAATCTGTTGCCCACATTACTAAAGAAAAGGCGGAACTATGACGCTTGACATTCATATGCATCAACGTTCCTGAGTCCAAGGCAAACTCCTTAAGAGTAAAAGCTTGATGATCTAAAGCAATGGAATTTCTTTTGTGATCAATTAGGGTTTCAAGCCAGTTCGACTAACTAATGCGTATCATGAGTGTTAGGAAGGAAAACTCTAAGCGAAAAACCGAGGCGCCCTTTGTGCTTAGGGAGGCAAGACATGGCAAGCGAACCAAACTCATCGTCACTGATTGGAGCAAAAAGGAAGCCAATGGAGTGAAGCGGCCATCTGACACGAGGATGGCATTACTTGCTTGACCGTAAGTAGACCCTGCTGGATCTTTAAATAGCACTCAAGAACTTTCGATTTCACCTAAATAATGAACGGTAGGTTTGGCTATTACAACGCTGTTACCCTGCTCGTCCGCTCTTGTCTTCTCTTCCTTCTGTGGGGGGCCAGCGATCTCGAGTTCCAATTGCAAATCAACTGTCAATTCAGTCGATGGACGATCACTTCAACTACACATCCAACCTCGATTGATTAAGGGGAGTGCCGGCTAATGCGAGCAACGTGGGGATCAATAGATGATGTCGAGACAGTGCTTTTGTCGGCATACCACCAACGGACTGAAGACATTGGGATACGCATATTTCCGGATGTTCCATGGAGCGAATGGCAGCAACAAAGAATTAATTCAAACGACCACCACGCGGAGAGTCGCAACAGAATTATGTTTGTTCATGGCATGCTCGAACTAACGATAATCAGCAACGAAGAAGCCCACGCTTATGACCTGGAAGAATGGCGCTACATCTCTGAAGCTCTCTGTGCGAGCGACGTCTTACTTCAGTCGATTTGATGGTTACCCGTGTCGCCAAACTAAAGAGGCACTGATCGAGGATACTGAAACTAACGGTTCATTCACAACAGATGGCCGTGAACTTAATCCGTAGCTAGCAGATACTACGCAACACACTTCCTTCGTAGCTACGACTGAAGACAGCAGTCAGAGAGCCGCAGCCACTCGCTGTTCTCGCGGAAACGGCGCCACTCGCCACTTAATATGGCCACAACATTGATTCAGAATTATATGCGCTAAGACCCATAGTTATCGAGAAAGCTACCGATGGACTACATAGCGCTGGTGCAAGTGTGACCAAAAGCAGTTTGCATCCCTATCGAGATTTGGCAATTAATCCAAAAACGATTGGGTGCCGGCATCTCATCGGTCGGCACAAATCCGACATCACTCATGTGCTCCTGGCTAACAGCATTTGACAATCGAGAAGCTTTTTTGGATGTACACTAGAACTCAAGGCTTACTGAGTAAACTTTCCGAAATCTGGTTGCGTTAAAGATGGGTGACCTGTGATCCAGAAGCGTATCAACTATAATTGCCGTCCGGGGCGGATCTAAAACTGTCGTTCCCCATGACTGTTGGAACGCCGTATGCCCCTACTATTGAGAAACAGTCCTTAAATATTTCGTCTCATTTAACAATAATCAAAGAGCTAATGTTAGAGTTCTTCCGTAAATGCAGGCATTTGTATTGTTACAATAATTGTGAACAAAATTTGCAACAACAATTTTCCTGTATTAGTTGAAGCAATAGCGTTGAGAAGGTCATCAAAATTCAGTTCATTGGCAAGTTCCCTCTATATGGTTAGAACTGCCTATCCGTGAGCCTTGTCTAGTCCATTGCTGATTGAATGTAGTTTGTTATGAGCTTGAGTTTTGAGAATGCGCTCTAACTGCTCGCAATGCTAATAGTTCTGGTAAGGAAGATGCGCAGTAGATTCCCCAAGGTGACATTTCTGTATGAAGTTTAAAAGTGCAGAAAGTCCATCAACTTTGTCCTTTCTTGAAGCTTTCACGAAATACTGCAATCTTCTCTCTTCATCAAAACATTCCTATGTTCTACATCTCCCCAACTTCGCCAAGCGGACAATTGTATTTCTCAGCAAGCGGATTTGAAGGTGTAAGAGAAGCCCTATTTATGCAATGTCATGAATTTGCTTCAATATATGGCATTTCATTAGTCAAACTCTCTATGATGGACAACCTATCCCATTCTAACTCCGCATCAAATCCCATCGATAATACAAACAAATATTCACGGTGTATTCGTTTCTTCTGACGTATCGACGCTTCATGCTTATCCCCAATTTACCGTAGTGTTTTTGGATTGCTCCATTGCAATGTCCACCATTTTCCCTCTATACTGAAGCAGACAAACTCTTAGCGCTGTAGGCTTGACAGAACGTTGCTGAAGATCCAGCCTTTCATTTAGACATCTGCGCATTCTCGCCTACTATGGGAACAGATCTCCAAAGACTCGGAAACCAAATAAAGGGAATTGACAATACCGAGATGAGAGTTAAGGATACATCTGAGTTTGTGACTGCAATTTCTGCTTATTATATGCAATGTTTCAAAGAAGTGATGAGTTCCGAGTATTTCTTCACTACAACACTTACAGTGAATGCTCGACTACTCCAGCTAGATTTTACAGTCACTTGATAGTTACCTCGTTGTCCTGAATCAAGATATTCCAGTAAAATTTTGCTGTAAAAAGAATGCGAATAACCGATCCATCGTACCGAAAAAGTAACAAAATGAACCGTCGCAGAAGCCCGATGTACACAAGCCAGATTCAGGGAATGGTTTGGGCATGGCACAAATACAGCCTGTTGGTTGATAACCCAGATGTGTCACTGGACACCCAATCGGTAGTCCGTCATAACAGCAGCATTGCTATATGCCTGGCCACGGCAGTCATCAATCTAAATTCCATCCTTCTCCGGTTCTCTCAAAAACCTGTCCAGAAATTTCCGCTGCCCTATCGTCGTCAGTCAGAATGTAGCTGAGAAACGACTCCTGTACCGTGACTTCACTTTCACTCATCTGATTC